CTCCAGCCTACAAGCAATGCAATTCTACTTTTGAGCTATTTTCTAAAAAAATAGTTTCCCCTACATCACTGCTGCTTTCCCCCACCCCATTTTTCTTTCTTGAAACAGGGTTTCATGTAGCCCATGCAGATCTCATGTTGTATACATAGTAGAGGGTGACCTTAAACTTCTGATCCTCTCCAGTGCTGGGACTAGGGCATGCCTCACCTCAGCTGGTTTCCGTGGCTCTGAGGATGGAGCCCAGAGCCAGGTGCTTACAGACAAGCATCCTACTGATGGAGCTACACCCACAGCCATGCAACTCATGATTTAGAAGAGGGAGCTATTTTAGGGGCTAGGCTGGCCATGCCCCAGCCTCCCTGTCTTGGACCTGCTTGTTGCCCTTTCCAGTCAGGTAGACTCCCACACAGGGCCAGCCATGATGGCTTCTTCTGACCTCTGCCCCTGGTTTTGTCTCCTTCTTCCTTGCCTTGTTGAAAATACATTTTCAACACCTGTATTTTTAGAAGGCCCGGACCTGGTATTTATGGACCATGTGAGCACAAAGGATGTGAACCGGACCTCAGGGACTCACTTCTAGGATAGGGTGTGTGGAAAGCGGTTGGATGTGTGATTCTTCTTTATTGTCAGCTTGACTGGGTTCAGAAGCCCCTAGGTGAGGCTCACTTAGGGAGAAGCCCCTAAGGACGATTAAGTGAGGAGGGAAGACTCACCTTGAATGTGAGTGACACCATCCCATGGACTGGGGACTTGAAATAAAATGGGGTGGGGGAGCCAGCTGAGCAGGAGTGTTCCCTGTCTGCTTCCTGATCACCACAGCAGTGACCTGCTCAGCCTCACTGGGTCCTCCTCATTGCAGTTACACTTGACCTCTGAGGTCATGAGTTAATAGATTCTTTCTCCTTTAAGTTGTCATCAGGCAGGGGCTGGAGAGATGGCTCCTCTTTCAGAGGTCCTGAGTTCAATTCTCAGCACACACATGGTGGCTCATAACCATCTGTAATGAGATCTGGTGCCCCCTTCTGGCACACAGGGAGACATGCAGGCAGAACACTATTCATAATAAATAAATATATCTTTTTTAAAAAGTTGTCAACCAGCATTTTGGCCAGAGTTTCATGGAAGTATGTGGCCTTCAGAGAGATTTGGCTTTCTGCATGGCTCAGCTCCTCTCTTTTGCTTATTCTGAGAGACCCCAGTAGCCATGCTGCTAACTGCCCTATTAGAACAAGGAACCCAGTCACAGCAGCAGCTGCTCATGAGGAGCCAAGTCTGTCATCAGCTGTGTGTCAGCTTTGCAGACCTGCCCCACTCTAGTCTTCAGATGACATGGCAACCCAGGCTCACACCTTCTCTGAAGCCTTTTGAGAGAGCTGAAGACTCAGCCCAGACCCGGAGAAACTGCTGAGCTAATGCATGCTTGCTGGCCCAGGGTGATTTTCACAGAGTGTCAGAGAGCTGATAGAACCCCCGAGCCCTGTATTTTCCTGTGTGCTTGCAGAACTTTTAATTTTCCCCTTATGTTTTTCATCACACAGTTGAAACCACGTCAATAGACTTCTGGTTCAGCTCATACGATCGTGACCACTTGCGAAAGTACATGTCTGAGACTCAGTAAGCTAGCTATCATCAATCTATCATTTATCTACCATCATTTCCCATCTGGTTTTTCTTTTTATAATTTATTTATTTTTATTTTATGTGCATTTGTGTTTTGCCTGCATATATGTCTGTGTGAGGGTTTTGGAGCCGCTGGAACTGGAGTCACAGACAGCTGTGAACTGCCATGTGGGTGCTGGGAATTGAACCAGGGTCCTCTGGAAGAGCAGCCAGTGCTCTTAACCATCTCTCCAGCCCCATTACCCATCTATTTCTAACTATCTATCTACCATTTATCATGTAGCTATCACAATCTAGAATCTATATCATCTATTACCTACCTGTATTTGTCTATCATCAATTTATCATCTATCTACTTTCTGTCTATCATTTATTTATCATCTGTCTGTCTGTCTAGCTCTATGGTCTTTCTCTCCATCCTCTGTCTTTGTGGTGCTGGGATGATCAGGGCCTTACACATACTAGACAAGCACTCTACACCAAGCTACACCCCCAGCTCTGTCCCCCCCCCCCCATCCGCCAGCCCAGGTATCTTCTTCTTTTGAAACATTGTGGCTTGAACTTGGAGCCTTGCACATGCTAGGTGAGTACTCTGCCACCGAGTTATGTCCCTAGCCCTTAAAAATAAAACTACTTATTCCTTTATTGTCTTTTGAAACAAAGTCTCTCTACATAGTCCTGACTGTCCTGGAACTCACTGTGTAGATCAGGCTGGCCTTAAACTCAGAGACACACCTGCCTCATTCCTTTTTATTATATTTATGTATTTATTTTGATTTCTCTCTCTATATATATATATATGTGTGTGTGTGTGTGTGTGTGTGTGTGTGTGTGTGTGTGTGTGTGTGTTCCTGTGTGACATTATGTGCATCACATGTGTGTAGGTGTCTATGGAAGCGTGAAGTGTTGGATCCCCTGGATTGGGAGTTGTAGGCAGTTGTGAGCCTAGGTGCTGGGAACTGAACCCCAGTCCTCTGCAAGAGCAGTACATGCTAAACGCTTTTAACCACTGAGCCAAATATTTTTTTTCTTTTGTTTTGTTTTTAGTTTTTCGAGACAGGGTTTCTCTGTGTAGCCCTGGCTGTCCTGGGACTCACTCTGTAGACCAGGCTGGCCTTGAACTCACCAGTCTTTGCCTCCTGAGTGCTGGGATTAAAGGTGTGCACCACCACCTCCCAGCCTACTGAGCCAAATCTTTAGCCCCAGCCTTCCTTTTTCAGATGTTTTTTTTTTTTTTTTTTAAATTACCCAGGCTGGCTCTCAAATCACTATATAAACCAGACTGGCCTTGAACTCATGTTCCTCCTACCTTAGCCTCCAGGTAGCTCAGATTGCAGACCCATACCACTACATTCAACTACTCGTGCATGAACAGTGGCTTTCACTTGAGACACAGGCACTGTGTACTGCTAGCATCTGTCATTGGAGTTGTGACCCTGTTTCTGCCCAGAAGAAATCCTCAAGCACCGTGGGACTTAAGGAGGCAAGCAGCAGCAGCTGGCAAGAGCAGACAAAGCGCACACACCTCTATTTATTTCCATCGGAATCTGGGACTGCTCCTTCGGGTTCTGAAGACACCGACACACTGAACAATAGAGCAAGTGGGGCTCTGAAAACTCCACATGGCAGCGCGTGTGCTGCACAGCCTGTTGCCAAGTGAAAATGCTTTGGCTTAACATCCCAGTCTCTCTTGGGCCAATAACTATAGCTCTTCCTAGGGGATACTAATTTCTGGAAGCTTCCATTGAATAATGTCTTCCTCTGCCTGCTTTCAAGAAGTGCCTATATTTGTGCCCCCCCCCCTTTTTTAACCTCCCCAGATCCCTGGTGCTTCATGGTACACTCTTTTGTATGTTCCCAACTGGAAGATCTGTCTTGACCCTTCTTCTTTCTTCTTTTTTTCCCCTTCCTTCTGAGACAGGGTTTCTCTGTGTAGCATTGTAGACCAGGTTGGCCTCGAACTCACAGAGATCCACAAGCCTCTGCCTCCCAAGTTCTGGGATTAAAGGCGTGTGCCATCACCGCCTGGCTGTCTTGACCCTTCTTAACCCTTGGCAGAAATACGGTTGCCTTCTCTGGGGAGCCCTCTGCCATCTGCCCCCTGACATAATCTTCCCCTTGGCTGACATGAAGTACCATGAGACTGAGCTCAGGGAAGGTGGGGACTTCATTTTATACCTGCTGTGTCCCAGCACCAGCACAGAGCTGTTAATACAGAGTTAAGGAACCATGGGCTAGCATGAGGCTCAGTTGGTAGAGCATATACTTTGTATGCACACAGCTCTAGCACCCCATAAAACTGGGCACCATAGTGTATGCTTGCAGTCATAGCACCAGGGAGGCAGAGGCAAGAGGATCAGACGTTCAAGGTTATCTTCAATACATAGTGAGTTTGAGCATGAGAGAGAGAGAGAGAGAGAGAGAGAGAGAGAGAGAGAGAGAGAGAGAGAATATTAATGGTTGTATAGACTTGCCTGGAGCCAGGTGGTGGCTCACGCCTTTAGTCCCAGTACTCGGGAGGCAGAGGCAGGCAGATCTCTGTGAGTTCGGGACCAGCCTGGTCTACAAGAGCTAGTTCCAGGGCAGCCTCCAAAGCCACAGAGAAACCCTGTCTCAAAAAAATCCCCCCCCCAAAAGACTTGCCTCATTGCAAAATTCATTCTCAAAGGACCCAAATCTTCCCCCTGTGACTAAGGCAAACAGCTGAGGACCTGACAGGGGCTGTTGGTTTTTTAACATGTTCACTCCGTTGCCAGGCTGCCCTTGAATTTACCATGACTCTTCTGCCTCAGCCTCCCAAATGCTGAATGTCCTAGTTAGCTTTGTTTGTTTGTGGAGACAGGGTCTCTATGTAGCCCAGGCTGGCCTGAAAACTCACTATGTAGACTAGGTTGGCCTTGAACTCACAGATACCTGCCTGCCTCTGCTCTCCTAGAGCTGAGACTAAAGGTGTACACCACCAGGCACTGCCTGAGTAGGTTTTTCATTTTTGTTTGTTTGGTTTTTGGTCACCTTGACAGATGTTAGAGTCATCTGGGAAGAGGAAACCTCATCTGGGAAATTGTCCCATCAGATCGCTAGTAGGCAAGTCTGCAGGGTGCTTATTGCTTAATGATTGATGTGGGCAGGCTGGTCCTGGGTTGTACAAGAAAGCAGACTGAGCAAGCTATGGGTAGCAAGCTTTCATCATGGCTTCCGCTTCAGTTCCTGCCTCGAGGCTCCTGCTTAAGTGCCTTCCCTGACTTCCCTCAATGGATTGTGATGTGGAAGTGTAAGATGAAATAAACCCCCCCTTCTCAAGCTGCTTTTGGTCACAGTGTTCTATCCTAGCAACAGAAACCCCAATTAAGACGCTGGGATTGCAGGCATGTACCACCATATGTGGCTTAAACACAGGGTTTTTAATTTTGCAGGATTTCATTCAGATCCTCACAACAGTCCCATTTTACAGATGCAGGGATGGAGTCTCAGAGTAGTGAAATAACTTGGGCCAAATCACATGACCCGAAGGCTGTCTAATCCAAAGCCCAAACTTTCTTTAAACATTATTTTTTTAGTGTATGTGTGTGTGTGTGTGTGCGCGCGCGCGTGCATGCATGCTTACCAGTGCACAAAGTAGCCAGTCCCTCCCTGGTCAGTGTGTATGCCTGTTTCTCCCTGGTCACCGGCTGCATCCCTGTGCATTAAATCTTTCTACTCCCTCACTTCACACTGAGCATTCCTCAAGAGCAGACTGCTTCTTCTACATTGTTCTCTCTGCACAATTCATCATACTCGACAGGAAAGACACTCAGTAAACAGTCCTGGCTGTGCAGAATGTGGGAAAAGCCGCTCAGAATCAGAGCCGACTGGCTACTGGCTCTACATGGCTGTTTGACTTTGGGCAAATGATTTAACCTCTCTGGTCTTTGATGTGTTTATTGATAAAGTGAAAGCAAAACCACCTATGGGGTTCTTAAGTGAGGGTGCAGTGAGTTCCTACATGTCAGAAACCTCAGCAGAGTGTACAGCTTCCAGGTCACTGTGGGGTCAAGGGATCTGGACCTTTCTCTTTTGGTTGAGACAGATCTCATTATGTCACCCTGGCTGGCCTGAAACTCCCTATGTAGTCTCAGCTGGCCTCGGACTCACAGAGCACTGCCTGCCTCTGCCTCCCAAGAGTGCCGGGATTAAAGGCATTCGCCACCACACCCTGAGGGATTATGGATTCTCTGCTGAGCTCTGCCACAGCTGTTGAGCAAGCTCTCAGCTACTCTGCCCCATGGCAGCCAGCTCCCAGAACCACTGAGGATTGAAAACAGAGAGTAGTACAAAAGCACATGGCACTGAGTGGGTCCTGAGGGATGTCCTTTCTGCCTTGCCCATGCTTCCCCTTACACTGTGTCGTCACAGCTGTGGCAGTGGGCGGCTGTTGTTGTGGGACATTTGTACACTGTGAAGATGCATTGCTGCAACGGGTGTAATAAAAGCTGAACGATCAATAGCTAAGCAGGAGGTATAGGTGGGGATTTCCGGGAGAGAAAGGAAGAGGAGGATGATCCCAGGTGCCCAAGGGTTGCCAGTCGGATACAGAGGACATGCAGGAGGAGAGGTTAAAGCCACATGTCATGGGGCAACATGTAGATAAATAGAAATGGGTTAATTTAAGTTATAAGAGCTAGTTAGAAACAAGTCTAAGCTAAGGCCAAGCTTTCATAATTAATAAAAAGTCTCCATGCCGTTATTTGTGAGCTGGTGGCCCAAAGAAAAGTTGGACTACAGCTGACATCAGAACTCGGATCTCTGCTGAGCCCAAACCAGCCCCAGCAATGGTGTGTCAGTCAGCTCTCCATCCTGTAACAAATACCTGGGAGAATCAGCTTATGAAGAGGACAGGTTTATTTGGCCTTACAGTTTTGGGGGATCTGGCCCGTGGGCCCGTTGACTTTCAGCCTCTGGCTGGGAGGTGCACATCACTTTAAGTGTGTGGTAAAGACCAGCTCACCTCATAGCTAGGAAATGAGGAGGAGGAAGACGTCTGGATACCTCCATATCCTTCAGGGACACCCCCAATGACATAGCTTCCATTCCATGTCCACACTATAACAAGTGGGCCCTGGAATCAAACCCTAAGGGTCTCCTGACCAAGAACACAGGGACAAGGAGCCTCAGACCTCAGATGCCACTTAGAGAAGTGCACTGGGAAGCACCCACATCCTCTGACTGAAGATAACAGCTAAGACCTCCCTGTGAGATGAACCATGCCCTCGGAGCTGCACACAGAAATTAAGCACAAAAACACATTATTTTCAGCCAGGACATTCTGTGGTGTTTACAATCAGAAAAGTCATATGGAACAGGACTTGGAAGAACCTTGGAAGGCTGGCAGGGAGGCAGGCCAGGCCTGGAATGCCAGGGCCTGCAGGAGGGAGAGGAGGAGGTGGAGTGCTCCGAGTCCCCAAGAGGATGCAGGCTTTGGCCCAGACTGAGTGTCAGCTTCCATCACTCTTGGGGAGACTGTGGTGTGTGAATCAAGGTCGCCCTTGTTACCTTGTGGCACAAGGTATCTCCATGTGGCAGGTGTCTCCAGGCCCAGTCAGGGACAGCATCTCTATGAAATCTTCTAAGGCCTGTCCCTCAGGTAGGGACCCAGCCCCACACAGGCAGGCATTCTATTCTCCAATCTTCTGCAGATCTTCAGGCCCAAAGGAGGCCGGCAGCAACTCCCGGACTGTCCTGATTACGTATGTGCCATCTGGCTTGGTCATGTACACGGCCCAGTCGGTGCCAAACTGGAAAAAAGAGCAGCACTGTGAGAGAGGCCAGGGGACTGAGGGCAATGGAAGGTGTGGCTTTGAATCTGACTCTACGATTTTCTATCTAATGGTCCTCTGTGCCTCAGTCCCTCTCCTGGTTCACAGAGCCTGAGGAGTGATCAATGGAAGAGCACCGCCAGTCAACAGCACAGGGCATGGCCTGTGGTCAGTGGGCCTGAGCATTCCCTAGAGGGCGCCCCCAAGAGCTTTGTAAAACTAATGCATTTTCTCGTATGTGTGGTATACATGTGTGTGTATGTATGTGTGGGAGCACATGCATGTGGAAGCCCAAGGGTTGGATCTCAAATCATCCTCCATGACTCTTCCACAGTATCCACTGAGTCAGGGTCTCTCCATCAAACCCAGAGCTCACCCATAGGACTACGCCCGCCAGCCAGCTTGCTCTGAGTGAGGATCCTGTCTCTGCCTTCAAAGACGGGGATTTCAGGCGTCTCCCTAGACCACCTCACAGTTAAGTGGGTTTCTGGGGGTGCAAACTCCAGTCCTCAGGGTTGCACACAAATGAGCCATCTTCCTAGCTGCTACTGAATGCCTGTGCCTTGGGCTGGAGAAATAGCTCATCAGTTAAAAGCAAGCAGTGCTCTGGCAGAAGAGCCAAGTTTGATTTCCAGCTCCTTCACTGGGAAGCTTACAATTTCCTGTAACTCCAGCTCCAGAAGAGCTGGTGTTTCTGGCCTTCGTGGGCAACTGTGTTTGAATGCACACATCCCTACACGGATACATAGACATAATTAAAAATAAAATAAAGCTGGGCAGTGGTGGCGCACGCCTTTAGTCCCAGCACTCGGGAGGCAGAGGCAGGTGGAGCTTTGTGGGTTTGAGACCAGCCTGGTCTACAAGAGCTAGTTCCAGGACAGCCTCCAAAGCCACAGAGAAACCCTGTCTCGAAAAACCAAAATAAATAAATAAATAAATAAAAATAAAATAAAAAGTCTATGCCCTGGAGCTAGGCTTCCTTCTGCAATGACAATGACAGCTAACATCTGCTGTTCCTTACAGGTTCACCTCTGTGTCGCATTCCAGGAGGAGTTTGTGTCTGTTTGACGACACTCGACATACTATGTTTGCATTATAGCGCAGGTTGCTCCCACTGTGTTCATTTTACTGTTGAAGAAACTGAGGCTTAGTGGTATCAAGTCAGCTGTGGTGGTTTGGAAGCAATGTCACATTTGGATACTTGGTCCTCAGTTGGTAGGCCATTTGGGGAGGTTTAGGAAGTGTGGCCTTGCTAGAGGAAGTGTCACCGAAAGCCTTTTGGGGTTTCAAAAGGCATGGTTCTAGCACACTCACTGTTTCTGGCTTACTGTTCCAGATGTGGCCTTTTGGCTCCAGCCCCACATCTGCTGTCTGCTGTCCCTTCTATTAGGAACCCCAGCCCTCCGGGACTGTAAACCCCAAATAACTAGTTCCTAAATTGCTTTCATCACAGTGCTTTATCACACTACAGGAAAGCCGCTAACACATCAGCGAAGGTGAACAAGTCTCCAGAACTTTCTCCCACACCCAGCCTTGCTGTGGATCCTCTGGGGCTCACTGTTTTCATCTACAGGGTATTTTAGTGATAGGGAAGGGCATCGGGGGTGGGTAGGTGGAGAGTTAAGTCCATGATAGAGAAGGAGAGAGCAAATAAAAATATCTGGAGGGGAGACGGTGAACAGTGAGGCCTGGGATCCAGGGACCTGGTGTCTAAACCCTTCTACATCCATCTCACACCCACACCCTCAGGCACAGCCTGCCAAGCAGGAAAATGTCCTCCCTTGAAACCTTAATTCTGAAAACCCCCAAAGACTGATAGTGTTTGGGAACAGCTTGGTGATTCAGACAGATGTGTGGAAGAGCAGAAGGCCTTGGCTGGCAGCCCACACATCAGTCATGGTCTCACAGCTTCTGTGACCTGAGCACCTACTAAATACCAGGGTCTGTGAATCTCACCATGCCTGCCTGGATGCTAGGTCTGTCTAGCACATACTGGGCACTGGGTTCCATCCATTCCCAGGACAGCAAAACCAGGCAGCCAGGCAGCCAGCTGCCATCCAAACCACCCTTTTGTTCTCACAGTTAACAAAAGCAAAGCCTCATATTGGTATGTTTTATAAAACCTGCCAGGGAGTAAGAGGGCTCAGCGGGCAAGGGTACTTGCTGCCAAGCCTGACCATCTGAGCTGGATCCCTGAGGTCAACATGGTGGTAGAAGGGGAGAATGGACTTTCAAAAGTTGTACTCTGACCTCCACACTTACACCATGGTTCGAGCGAGCACACACACACACACCTATTAAACAATAAAACTTGCCTCATATTCCTTTTGACTTCCCTTTTACTCACTCTCTCACTCTCTCTCTCTCTCCATTTTCTTTTCTTTTATTTTTTGTTTGTTTTTCAAGACAGAGTTTCTCTGTGGTTTTGGAGGCTGTCCTAGAACTAGCTCTTGTAGACCAGGCTAGTCTCGAACTCACAGAGATCCACCTGCCTCTGCCTCCCGAGTGCTGGGATTAAAAGTGTGCGCCACCACCTCCTGGCTCTCTCTCCATTTTCAATTTTGTTGTTCGTTTGTTTTGAGACAGGATCTTGCTGGATAGCCATGGCTAACCTGGAACTTGCTACATAGCCCAAGCTGGCTGCAAACTTGCAGTAAACTTCCCACCGACTCCTGAGTTCTGCGATTACAGGCATATACCATCATGCCTCGCTTTTCTTGATTTTCCAAAAACAGTAGTAAAATACACATTATGTAAAACTTGCCAATTTTTTTTTGTCATTTTAAGTGCATAGCGTGCACTTAAAATAAACGTGCCCTCTGTTCCCTGGTTGGTACAACCAGGTGACC